ACAGTATTGGTTCCCCAGGTGTCTGGGGCCCCAAGACTAGGAATGGCACAGGGTCCAAACTAGAGTATAGAACGGCAGCGGGGAGGCAGGGCGTGGGGGGTGGGGTGGAAGGGTGAATGAGGCTTAGGGAGTCCCGGCGCAGGGAGCTGCGCTATAGACTTACCCCAAGAGGCCTGAGGATAGTAGTCCATCCCATTTATTTTAAAAATAACAGGCTGGATTAGATTGATAGCATCTGTTTATGGTCCTGTATGCTGTTCTGGGACACTAGAGATCAGAAAAGGAAAATCCTTCTCTGGTAAGATAAGGTTCTTTATTCCTTCTCCATTTCATGCTAGAAGAAGGGTTTCAATAAACAGAGAGTTAAAGGGTAGAGAGCAAAGTTCCAGGAGAAATCCAAAGCAACAAATTCTCAGAGCAGATCAGGCCCACTATTTTTTTTTTAATGATGTTGAGAGTCAGGCTGGTTTTCTCCAGGCATCACTGTAATGTGGCATCACACAGCTGTAGAAGACAAGTCTATCTGAATACCTCATCCCTAACTTCCTTGTACTACATAAAGTGGTTGAGTGACTACTACAAGAAAAAGTGTGGTCAGTCACATCAAATTTGAAAAGTGTAGTAGAGGCATCGGTTATAGTTCCTGCCCTTAGAGTAGGAGCTTTTTATATGCAACAATTTCTTTAACCAAATAGCATATTTTGCAAGGGGATTAATTTTAGATTGTTGAATAGTCCTATCAGATCTTGGTATTAAACAATTTCTATTTCTTTTATTTGAAATTAAATCATAAAATATTCATTACTAAAGACTTCCTATGTATTATGTGAGGTTTGGGAATACTGTTTCATTACTTTAGCTAAGCCATGGAATCTCAGCATTTAGGTTAGCGGCATAAAGAAGCTTTAGAATTATGGAGGCCTCCAGCTTCATTCTTATGGATGTAAAATCCAAACTTTCTATTTCACTCTTCCCTGCTATAAAAAACAAGCATGATAACATGTCATTTTCATGAGCTTACTGCTCAGGTTGTTGCTGAATGTGAAGTGCACACAAAAGAGTCTTGATGAATGTTTTCTTGCCCACAGCATTTCAATTTCCATGAACTCCTTACAAAGCATTAGATGATTGTACACCCAAAATTTCTGGCAACCGGAAATGGTCACTATTTTGCTTTTATAAATATTCCCTGTCTTCCTCAAGATAAGAATTTCATTTCCATACATGCATCGCAACTGCTACCTCTTCTCTCCATTGACCCCACTTCTCTCCAAAATGTTCACAAAAATATTTTTCAACAAATGTCTGTACCTAACATGCACACACACACACAGACACACAGACACACAGACACACACACACACACGCACGCACGCACGCACGCACACACACACGCACACACAAACCGGATATTTGATTGAGTGGTTTGTTTTCCACCAAAAGCTCAAATAAGCACTTTTCTCTGTTTGTGGAGGCTGAAATTTGGTTTCTTCTTGAACATGTCAATCAACACTGCTCACTGAATACCCATATTAAGTACTTTATATGGCATGATTATGAAATTACAATGCTTAATTAGCAAACCTACTTGAATTGAAATATCCAAATAAATCAATTCCAAGTGAATACCAGCATTTGTTGTACATTTATGTAACTAAGAGATATATTAGTTTAACACATACCAAGTTTAAAGAGGTATTATGTTCATCTTCCATATCTAGATTTCTCCCATCTCCAGTTCCAGACTTAAAGCCTGATGTTCTGAATCCAGTCTGCATCATTAAGCAACCACCTCTGCCCCTTTATTATTGGCATAGTCATATTAGAAGACAATGGACAATATCAGCACTGCCATTATCCCCTCCTTGTTCTACTTTAACACTGATCTCCAGGTCATCCTGTTCATGTAACCAAGGTAGCTGAGAGATGATAGCTGAAACTCTGTGCCATGGTGCCTGTGATCTTTAACATACAGGACAGCACTGAGTCCTGGTGGGTGCTTTGTAAATTATTTCTGCTTGTTTAAGAATACTGAGGACTGTGCCTCGGACCTTAAGCATATTTAAACAAGAGCTCTGTCACTGACCTACATCCCCAGCCTGTGCTTTGGCTGGGAGATTAATTGAATGAAAACTTTTTAGAAATTTGAAAATCTAGGTGGCAAATAAATTTCCTTTCATGAATCTATATCTTTATTCATTTCCTACAAACTCAAAATTGCCTAATTTTGGAGTTGAAGTTTCATTTGAAATAAATATGGAGTGACATCAAGATAGATAATACAAAAAAATGAAAGAAAACAAACAAAATAACCTGTTCAGCATTGTGAGAGTAATGATGCAAAACCAAAATATCAAAGGAGTAATTGGACCATATTGAACTCTAATATATGGGCTCTTAAATGGAAACTTGGTGGAAGCAATTATTTGTGTAAAGTCTTTGTTGGAATCTACATTTAACAGTTTGAAGAGATTCTGAGCAAGTCATTAAAGCTTTGAGTGTCTCAGTCTCATCTAAACATGGGAATAAAAATTATGATCTTAAAATACTGAGGAAATTGCAAAGATAATGCTTATATAAATTGACTAATGTAAAAACATCTTAATATATTAATCTGATACTCGTTTTAAAATTTGCTACATCAACACTTGGCTAATGTCACTAATATTTCCTTAATTTTGTTTAATTAAGATCAGAAAAAATCTCATTTAAAGAATAAGTAAGAATGTTATATATGAATAATCTAGAAGAACAGTAAAATCAATGATTAGAAAATTTGAAATTATACAACTTAATTCAGACTAGCAAACAGCTCATTACTTTTTAACTTTCGTATACATTTTCCCTCAGCAATCATGAGCGTGAAGAACTGTAACTAAGAGTGTATTCTTTTTTGACTGTCTGCCAAATGCATTCAGCATGAGTGCAATTGAATGAAAAAGTAAAAATACATATTACTTACTGTATGTGGTGCTCAGCTATTTCAAACTGATTTGAAAATATTCATCCTCAGAATACTCCTACAAAATGCATCTGTGAAGGAGAAAAAAATCGAAAAATGTAAGACATTTGTCAAGGTCACAGAAAAATCAGTATAGATTAACATAGACACTACATACTTTTACATAATGAAATTAGATTTTGCAAAGTCCCTATTATACATCTAGTAAGTATAAAAGGCTGATGAACAGAAATATTCCCAAGTACTTTCAAATACTTTCCACAGCTGTCAAGGATACTCGAGAGGTAAGAATCTCAGTACCTGGCTCCAAAAGTACAGGTCTCAAAAAATAGTGATACAATCACATAGAAGTATCCAAAACTGTGATGTACTTATGAGTAAATTTAGGTGAAGATTTAAGGTGAGTCATCAAATCAAATAAGTTTTTTAAATGCCCTGTTGTCTGGAATAAGATCACTGAATTAGAAGAGAATTCTGCTTGGTTTTTCTAAAGAATTTCATCAATTCACTTTGTAATTGCATCTCAACTCTAACTGAAAGTCATGCATTGAGTAAAATGTAGGCATGCTGTTTTCACACCTCCCCAAACACACAAACAGATCTTTTATTTTCTGCAGAGTCAACGTAAGTTTAAGGAGAAAGTGATTTAATCAGGATTTATTAATTTATTTAGTTTAGAGAATAAATATTAAAAAGGCATATAAACTTTGAGAAACTCAAGATATTTCTTTTCAAATGGATCTTTTAAAAAAATCAATAGCTGACCAGCTGTCTGATAAATTCTGTTTCCTTGTGGTTATTCACCACCTCTGCCTCATAATCTTTTCGTCCATCTTTTGCAATGATCCCTGAGTCTTGGGAGGCAGAAGTTTAATATAGATTACTTATATAAACTCATAGCAAAGGTGACAGCATGCACAGACCCATGCAAGCTAAAACCAGAAAAAAAAAAAAAGTCCCAGCATAGACATGAGGAAGTGGGTGAGAAGCTCCAAGCTCACCTAAGAAAATTGTGGCAGCAGATGACTGTTGGGAGGAGCAGAGACAGTCTCTTTCAAGCATGGGACTCTTGGTAGGTTAATTAGGCTTCAGTGGATGGACTCACACTGAAGGACATTTGGAGACACAAATTAGATTCTATAGGACTTATTGTATATATAATAGAGTACATTAAACTGGATGGGGGCAGTAAGGGGAAGTGTGGCTAGTGGAGGGGATCTAAGTACCATCAAATTATATTGTATGAAAACTACAAAAATTTAATCATTAAAATCTGTTTCACAGCTACAGAAAAGGTAGAAAGAAAGCAGAAGTCTTTCTCCAGTTTGTCTTGTAAATAAATCTATGTTCCTTTACCAAAGCAATCAAACAAACAGAAATAGCAAATGAAAATAATACTGAGCCCTTTAAAATACAGTTCAATGTTTCAGACAGATCAGGCACATTATAGTAATCAAATACAAATTTCCAAGTAGAAAGCTACTTAAGAGAATTGTTAGTGCTCAGAGACCAAGGAAATTTCTGACCCAAGGAGTTCCAGAGTATTAAACAGAAAGACCATAGTGTTGTGATTTTGTTGATACCTAAACCTATCACAAACAAGTCAGAAGTTCAATGTTTAGAACAAGTGTCATGAGCTAAAGCCTTATTTATCTTCCTCTAGTGTAGAAACTAGTCTAAGACAGGCATTGCCTCTACCTGCCCTAGGAACAGATAGATGATTTTATTGGCTGTCAAAATAGGACTTCTGAAAAAGAAAGAAGAATGAGATAAAAATATCAAGATTGGAGCTAAATGGAAATAATAAACCAAGAAACCCTTAAAAAAAAAACTAGATATTTTTAGGTTTCAGTTTTCTGAGTTTAAAAATTACAAGTTAGTAGAATAATTATCTTCATATGTAATTTCAATAAAATTGTTAAGCTATAGCACCTACCACCTCCGTATCTTCATAAGTACATTGTGTACATGCAGCCCAGAAGGCAGTAGACTGAGCTAAACACTAACCATGTGACTTCTCAATTTGACATGCCCAATAGGAGATAATCACTGCCTCACAACCAGCATTCTGCCTGGGGTTTCATCTCCCAGACACCTGCTAGGAGGGATGCCCAACCTGGGGTCCCTGGATCACATGAGGTGGAGGACAGCATGAATTGGGCCCAACAAAAAATCATAAATTTATTTAAAATATTATGAGGTGAGTTTTTCTTAGTTTTTGTAATTTTTTTTCTAACTTAATTTTGTGATCTTCTGTCCAAAACTTCATAAATGATAACATTATTTTGAAGTGCCAAAAGATTGGATAGGCCTGTTACAGGCTGTAAATGGGACATGATCAAATTTGACCAATTGCATTGTACACAGTATTATAAAACAAATTTTAAAATTTATGTGGAACTACACAAAAATAAATAAACCTACATACCCAAAGGAACTATGAGCAAAAAGATCAAAGCAGGAGGCATTATGCAATGTGATTTCAAAGTATACTACAAAGCTGTTTTAATTGGAACAGCACCATGTTGGCATAAAAAGGACACATAAACTAACGAAACACAACAGAGGAACCTAGAAGTAAGCCCAGTCATTCGCAACCAGCCAATTCTGAACACCAAACAAATACAGTAGGGAACAGACAGCTTTTCAGTAAGCGGAAGTTGAAAAACTGAGCATCCACATACAGAACAATGAAATCAGAGCCTTATCTTCACAGCTAGACATTACAAAGTACTGAAAGAAAGGAGAGAAGAAATGTGTCAACATGTTGGGCTGTGCAAACATTTCTTGGACAAAACCCCAAAGGCACAAGTACTAAAGTAAAACGACAAGTAAGACTGAATTAAATTGAAAACTTACAGTACAGCAAATGAAAAAAAAATCAGCATATGCAAAATCCAAGAAAACATTTGCAAGCTACATAAGAGATAAGAAGCTAATACCCAGAAGATATAAAGAACTTCAAAGTTGCAAGGCAAGAAGCTAAAACTCCACTTTAAAAATCAGCAATAGGCCTAAATAAACATTTACTGAAAGAAACCATAAAAATATAGAACACAAAAATGTTCAGTGTCAGGGGCTGGAGAGATGGCTCAGCAGTTGAGAACACTGGTTGTTCTTACATAAGACCTGGATATGAATCCCAAGACCTGCACGGCAGCTAACAACTGTCCGTAACTCCAGCTTCAGGGGCTCCAATGGCCTCTTCCATCCTCTACAGGCATTGCACGACATGGGTGCACTTGCTTACATGCAGGCATACAAATTAAAAAAATTTAAAAATAATAAATAAAATATTTTTTAAATGTTCAGTATCACTGATCATCAGGAAAAAAACATCAAAATTATGAGACATTACCTTACTCTAGCAAGGACCACTTTCAAAAACACTAAGGACAGCAGTGCAGTTATATGTGGAGGAAAAGGGACACTCCCACACATTCGTGGAAATGTAAATAGTATAGTCACTGTGGAAAACAAAAAGAAAATTAAAACTACAACTACCTCATCACCCAGCAGTCTTACTCCTGTGTATATCTCCAATGGAGATGACTTTAGTCTTTTGAGGAAACAGCCACCTGCCCATGTTCATTGCTGCACTATTCACACAGCTAAAAATTGGAGACAACTTAAGTATTCTTCAACTGATGAGCTGACTTAAAAATGGAATACTACTAAGCCATAAAGAGAATGAAATATTGTGATTTCAACATGTATGAAAACAGATCATTATATTAAGTGACATAAGACGGATATAGAAAGACAAGTATATATTATTTTTTAACTGAGCTTTTGTAAGTTCATACAACAGTTCTTAAGTAGACCCCATCCCCAATCCATGCCATCCCCATCCCACCACGGGACCTCATGAATTTCACCATACATGTTAAGTTCTATTTATTCAGCCATTTGTACCCAAATGTCCTTCAGTATAAATTCGTCCACTGGAGTCTAGCCAGTCCATCTAGCGATTGTATGTAAGTCACACTCTCCCTTACCCAGCAGCAATCAGTCTCGAATAGTTCTCAGTCTAGTGCCAGCCCACCACCTATTTCTCTCTTCCCCTTTGAACCCTTGTTTAACTGAGTTTACGTGGGTCCTGTGCTGGTTGCCACCATTACCACAAGTTCACATGTGCAAGCTTCCAGTGGTCCAAGCAGTAGCCTCTACTTCCAGAAGCCTTTGCTTCCCTGTGTTCATGAACCAGCCCTGGCTTTTATTCCTGCAGGTGAACCTCTACAACTAAGGCTCATGGAACACAGTGGAACAAGGGGTAGAGAGACTCCATCTCTCAACTCTCACCAGTAAGCTTCCTTATTCAGCAGAGTGTGATGCACACAGAAGGTCACAATTGGCCAAGTTTTAAAGAATAAGAGACCGCAGATTGTGGGATAGGGCTCCTATATGGAACCTCATCCACTCACGGCTCAGGGACCATCGCAGAAGAGGGGGCAGGAAGTACATATCATTCATATGTGGGGTTCAAAAGAGTTTATCTCATGGGAGATGATAATACAACAGTGGTACCCAGTGAAGAGTAAGTAGCAAGAAGAAGATGGTGGGGGTTCTTTAAACAGGGACTAAGCTGTATTCTGGAGTTAAGAAATTATTGCACAGAGGGATCACCGTAGAGAATAATGTACAGTAATTAATGGCATTTTTAAAAAGTGAGAAGAAAGCAATGCAAATACTTCACTCTGACGTAATGATGCCCATTTAAGATGAATATGCTGACCCTAATTTTAATACCACATAATATATGTATATATCAAAGAATTCCAGGGTACCCCATAAATATACACTACATTTATGTTTTCTGTATCCATTAATGTGAGTTGAGCTGAAAAATGGCTAACATGTTTTTGTGTGTCATATTATATTCAAAATATTAAACAATATTAAAAACTGGGAGACTTTTTATAAGAATCTTTATGTATAATTTTTTAAACAATAAAAACTCTAAGACTGAGCTCCAAGCACACGTAAGAAACAGGGCAGTCTGCTCTTTTTACATTACATGTTTTATGTAACTAACCTATTCCTGAATTTTGCAAAACTCTTCCAATTTACC